GAAATCTTGGGTGGGTCGGCTGGGCACGAGGCGCAGCCTGGCGCCGTGCAGCCTGGTCCCGCGTGGTGCGCGTTGGCTTGGAGATGTTTTGAATTGGCATCTCTGCATCCTGATGGTCCTTTCTCAGCGCCCGCTTCTTGCTCGAGTAAATGGGAAGCCAGGATGGGGAGGGAAGGGAGGAATCCCACACTTCTCGTGGGTTTCTTGCTGGGATCGGTGCAACTGTGCCCACGTCGGGAGCGTGGGATTTCTGCCTTGGTCCCGTAATCAGTGGCTCTGGTTTACAGGGGGAGTAATGACCCCTGTTAGACAGGGACAGAGGGGTGGCAAGGGAAACAGGCTGGTTTGCCAGGGTGACAGGAGCGGGACAGGGTGCCTGCTCCTCCCACCCAGCCCCGGGGGAAGGCGGGAGCTGCCTGTGCCAAAGGTGAGTCCCTGCCCTGCCAGCCTCGGGAGCTGCAGCCGCTCTGTGACATGGGGCAGTGACCAGAGCGGCCTGCAAAGCAGAATTTGCTGCTCCTGCTTTGTTTTCATTTTTGGGTTGGGTTGTGGGTTGTTTTTGTTTTTTTTTTTTTTTGTTATTTTTTTGGTAGGTATGGAGGGAAAAAACCCAAGTTTTCTTCCCCACACTCCCCCAACCAAGTTAATTCCCTTTAGAAAGTGCTTGTGCTGCAGGGAGAGATGATCGTGAGTGACACGTGACTTTATTAAAAACAACAACCAGGGATTGAAATTTGCTTCACTGGCTTGTTTGATTGGAAAAATAATAGTTAATCTGTGAGCAAACAGTTGAGCACTTAATTAGAGGGGTGTAAGCAAGGGAGAATAACAAAGACTCTTAACTTGTTAAAACAAAGTTTCCTTCGCTTCAGCAAAGAGGAAGGAAGGAAGGAAGCAAGAATAAACAGCTTCAAGAATTTTAATGGTGATAATTAAGTATAGTACCTATGAATTGTTTAGAGGCTTAATGTAACTTTATCCAGTAAGCACCAAGTTCCTACTTGTTTGATCAACTTAACTGCAGTTATTTTTGTGGTCAAAGCAATTCAAACTGTGCATTTGCACGGTAGAGGTACAAAGTTAATCGCTGCTTTCTGGCCCGGTGGAGAGTGTCTCCTGGGGGGAGGTGGGCTGGTGACGGGAAACAGAAGAGCCACGGGTGCTCACGTCGCGCTTGCAAACCCAGGAGGGCTAAAAATGCTTTTTTTTTAATGTGTGGTTTTTTTTTCTTTTTTCACAGATCTATCAGATTCCACGTTGTCTTACACTGAAACGGAGGCTACAAACTCGCCCAACGTCACGCCTGGAGACTTCTCAGGTTGGCAGATGTTTGTGCCTTCCCGCACGCGTGGTCTGCGCCGGGGAGCTCGTGGCTGGGGCCGGCCAGGAGGAGGAGAACGGGGGGTGGGGATCGTGGCGCTGCTGTTGGTTTATATTCACGGTGTGGAAAGAAGGCAAAAAAGAGCAGCTCTTGGAGTCGATTGTTCAGATGACTGCGCGTTGCACATTGTGATAAGGTGCTGTTTGTGGGATGAGCGTGCTGGGACAAGCGGGGATGTTTGGGAGGTGGCCACGGGGCCACGCATGTCCCCTGCACAAGCCCCCCAGACCTTGCGTGAGCCCTGGGGTCGTGGGCTGGCGTGGGGCTGAGCTGTACGCTGTCACCGTTCTCGCGGCGGGAGCGATGAGGCTGTTGCAAGCGATGCTGCTCTGTGGTTTCTTGCCGAGTCTGTCCGGCCTGCGTTACCTGTTGGCTCCTGGCCCTGCAGAGCAAACCCTGCTTCCCTGAGCAGGGCTCCCAGCTACGATGGCGTTGAAGCTCCCGAACAAAGCTTGGCTTAATTAGGTCCTGGTTCTTGCTCTGCCCCACCCCTGCAGCCTTCCATTCATTTAATGGTGCTCTGCAAGGCCCGAGGGGGGTTTTACCCTCAAGCAGGCAGAGAGTTGGGGCTCTTGTTTGCTCGGCGTTGGGCTCTGGCTGCGGTGATGGTCGCGTGTCCTTCCCTCCCTGGGGTCCCGTCCCAGGCTGGGGGCTGACTGCGTGGAGAGGAGGGACCTCTCTATAGGACCAGCTTTAATTCCTATCTAGGAAATGACCTGGTTAATGGTTTCCGAGCTCAGATGGAGACAGGCAGGCCTTCATCCCGGCGGAGCCCCATGTGCCACCTTCGGCGGCTGCGGTGGGCTTTGTGGTGGGGTAGGACTTGGGCACCTGGGTGCCGAGTTGCTGTGTTGCAGAGCACGTGGATGGGGTTTGCTGCTCTCTCTGGGGAATGCTGTGAGTTGCTGGTGGTGGAGGAGACCCTCGGGGTACTGCTCCATTAGGCACAGCTTTTCTCTTCAGCTTCTCTGCCTGCGAGAGTTTATGGCCAGTTTGGTGAGACCTGCGGCGTCCTTGGGATGTTTAAGCCGATTCTGGCTCCGCAGCACTTCAAAGAGCGTTTAAACAGCGCGGCATCGCGGTGTCATGGCATGGTGGCACGTTTCCCTCCTGGGAATTTTCTCTTCTTTAAGGTTCTTCTGCCACGGTCGGCTTTGCCGCCGTGCTGCCGCATGTCGTGTCCGGCGTGCCGGCCCCGCGTTGCTTTTGTTGTGCCGCCAAGTGTCCATAGCAGGGGGACAATTGATAGCCAGGAGTTGGATTGTTCAGGGCTGTGCTATAATAAATACGTGTTTGCAGTTCTTAACAAACGTTCCTCAGGCTGGATACACACGTCCGTAGAGCTCTCCATGCCCACGGCTTTTATTGTAACTTGATAATTGCCATTAATTACAGCAGCCATGTCTGAAAAGCAGGGTTCCTAAGGATGTAATGGTTTAGCTTCTCTCACAGCCGAGTCCTTTATGGGACATCTGGTGGGTTTTCTGGAATAGAAGAGAGTTTTTAACTTTTACTTGAACAATATAACCATAACATGTGACTGAGATTGTACTGAAATCGGATACCTCCTCTCCCTCCGCGTAGTTTCCAATGGTGTAACTTTTAATAAGAGTCTGGGGCTGTGTGATTTATTTTTCCCCAGTGCTTGTGATTGCTGAAAGAGGGTAAGAGCTTCACTGAAGTTAACCCATACTTGTCATCACGGGGAAGTAAAAGGAAAAAAAAACCCCACTTAGACTCTAGTCTATCTGCTGTATTTCAGTTTGTTTATTCCCCATTTCAACTGATGTAACAGGCCTGCTTGAAAGGTAGGTCTGTGTAAACGATACACAAAGCTCGTGGTCTTCCCTGCCTTTTCTTGTGTGTACCGAAGGAGCTCAATGTGCGTTTAGCTCCCGTTCCAAAAATAAGTACGTTTTGGATCTAGCATCAAGCCACTACTATTTATTGCTTCAGCTTTGATCATCAAAAAGGCTTTTCCTACTAAAACCACAAAATTCAATTTTGGATAACAAAGAGAACCATTCTTCTCCTGTTATTCGTGTACTTGATGAACTTCTAAACAGGAAGTTTTAGCTTGAAGTCAAAAGATCATCTCTGTCATATGTTTAAATTTAAAAAAAAAAACCCCAACCCCTCTTTCTGAAGTAGACCTTTTCATGGCTACAATACTGCTCTTAAAAATAGGAAAAAGTCTTCCCTGAGCTAGCAGGCCCCCTATAAAATTCGAGGTAACGATCAGTGCTGACTGGAAGCACAAGTTGTGGACAGTTGTGCGGATGTGACCTTCTGTGTCACGAGCTGGATCGCTGGACGATACCCCAGAGTCCTCTTCATCTGCGGTTCAAAGCGTTTGGCTCATGCAGTGAAGCTGTCTGTCCAGGGGTCAGTGTCCAGCCACAGCATTTCCCTCGGGCTGGGGATGTTCCTGATATCTCGGTGAGGTACAGTGGCTTGGGAAGATCTGAGCTAGTGGGAAAAGGCAGTTGGAGGTGTTTGATCCCAAAGTTTCCATCTTCTGAGCACAGACGACATCACATTCAGGCTTGTGGGAGTGCAAAGAGGAGTTCCGTCTTTTCGTCATTATTTGTTCCTACAGCCGTGCACGCCTGGGGAGCGGAGGTGACGAAAACCTGCTGGTTTGGGAGTTGTATTTTGAGCCAGGGTCGTTTCCCCGGCCGGATCGTGCCCATCCCCTGGGTGCCGGCAGAGCCTTGGCCGGTGTCGGTGTCCCCGCAGCTCCCTGGGCCAGAGCTGGGAAATAGCAGGGAAAGGGCAAAATCCAGCAAGGCAGAAACAAAAGCTCAGCCCCGTGACTCATAATTGGTGGAACATTCGTAGTAATTTTTTTTTCCCTTCCCCTCAGACTTGGCTCCTCCACCACATGCCAAGAAGCTGCTGTACCCGTTAGACTTGCCAGGCTTGTAGAGGGCTGCGCTGCCGCTGCGGGAACTGGTTCGGTACGGTGGGGACGTGCTGGAGCAGATGTTGAGGGCCACGGGCTTCGGGCTTGCCTGCCTTCCCCTAAATCCCACTGGGCTCTCTCTCACCTTCCTTGGGAAGGACCTTCTCTTAAAGACTACAAAATAGCCCTGCTCCTCAGACTCCCCTTGCATGGCACACTGCGTCGTTCTGGCTGTCTGGCTAAAAAAGCCCCATGAATTCCTACAAGCAGCAGTGAGAGTTCTCATTAGTGGTGGCATTAAATTCTAGAGATGCCAAGGACTGCAGGAGACAAAGGGTTGAGCACAGGTAGGAGGGCATGTGGTGTTGCTGCTTGGGAGCTCCCGGTGGGACTGCACGCTGGCTGGACCATCGCTGGCTGGACCATCGCTGGCTGGACCACTGCTTGTGGCCACTGCAGGCCTGGAGCAGCATGTCCATCCCCTACAGACTGCAGAAATGTTGGACCATCAGTTTTCTTTGGAGCAATAATAAATAAGGATGAGTAATGAGTTGTAGGAACACACGGGTAGTGATGGGTGCAGCTCAGGGCTGCCTCACAGCAAAGTCCCCGGCTGCCGTGCAGGGATTGAAGATGCTTAACGAAGAATCTGCCTGCAGCAGCCGGTGCCAAGCTCTCACGAGAGCAGGTTTCCCTCGGAATGAGCCACTCGTCACTAGAGCCGGCCTCACGCGTCTCTACATGCCTGCACGTTGCTCCTCCTCGCTTAATCGGGAGCTCTACCAGTGTTTGCATGGAAAATCTCATTGTTCGTGTGGAAACGCCTGTGTGAAGCGATGGTGCCCGCGAGGCTGAAGCACTGTGTGTGGCAGGGTTTTCCATAGGGAGAGGGCTCCTTGTCCACGTCCAATCTGCCTCCCTTTTATTCTGCATTGCGCCCGAGTACCGCATCCTGCACCCGGTCCTCCCGCCATGGACCAGCCAAGCTGGTGCCCAGAGTTAGGGGATGCTCAGCACCGGCTGGATTCAGCTGGGAGCATGAGGGTGGCCTGGTGCTGGGCGATGCACCCCAGCAGAGAGGAAAGGGTAGATAAGTGCTCCGGGGGAGAAGTGAGAACTGGGAATGGGAAAAGGGCGGGAGGGAAGTGGGGAGAGCAGTGGGGTTTGTTCCAGCAGCAAGAAGCTTTGCAGGAGGGCAGGGAAGGTGCTGCTTTAGGTTTTCCCCAAAACACTAATTATTTTTCTTCAGACTTTGAGCACACAGCAAGTGAATTAATTTCAAACTCTTCAGGAGTTTCAGCTCTGAGGAACCCATTTGTAGCTGGGAACATGAACCTGAGAAAAGAAATTGTGAGGTGGTGGTTTGCTGGAGGAGCGATGAATTCCCCTCTGGAGCGGTGGGGAGCCATACCTGGAAGCGGAAGCACACATGTAAGCCTGCTCCGAGCAGCTCTGCCGAAGCCTAGAAGGTGATGGGTTCCATGTAGAGATGGGGTCTGCGCGGTCAGTTGCTCTCTTGTCCCCTCCAAAGCTGCGGGAGGATAAGTGTGAATTAACAGAAAGAGGAAAAGCAAAACCTGAGTGGGCTGCAGCTTAATTTAAATTGTTGTGGATTTATTTCGAGGCTTGGGAAGGTGGAGAAGTTGAGGTGGTGGGACTGGCGCTGTTGGATCTGAGGGGGCAAGGTCCCCATACCCCAGAAGGAGGAGGAAGGCAGGAGCGTGCCCGTCCATCCCAGCTGGTGACTCAGCCCTGCTGAAGCAATGCCATGGCTCCAAAGCCAGAGCCGGAGGTTTGTTTCTGCTTCCAGCAATATTTAGGATGAACTTAAGGAAGCATATTTTAAAACCCACTGAATGGAGAAAGTGAACTCTCTTCCTCTCCCCCCAGAAATAACAGACTGCGAGGATTTATGCTAACAAGGAAATTTATGAAGATCCTGTGTGTTAGGAGTAGGAAAAAAAAAAAGGAAAAAAATGCCTATAAATATGTAAGGCAGGTATGTGTGGAAACTGGGAAAACACAGGGGAGA